TCCAATATATGTCATATTATATTATATATAATTTATATAAATCTCACAATTGTAATATAAAAATTGCAATTAAAAAATTCTTTACTGACCTATCACCTACAATAAAAGTATCACATGATGGATAATGATATTTCAAATCTCTTCCAAAATTTGGCACTCTCAATCTGTAATATTTTCCATAAGCAGCATGAAATTCAACATTGCGATCACAGTGTAAAAATAGTAACTGAAAAAAAATAAACACCATAAATCAATATAAAAGAATTCTGATAATTTATCAGAGTCTACAGTTAAATCAGAAGTATGAGAATTTAATTGAAAAAAAGCTCACTTACCTTGCTGTAATCATCTGACAGGACTTCAAAAGTAACTACTTCAGAATCTAAGCACCTCTCAAATTTCAATGACAAATTGTTCACATCAAAACACTTTACACGCGGCTTGTAAGTTCCTGTTGCCAGTATATGTTGCCCGTCTCTGGATACTCTGATGGAGGTGCTCACACCAGGCATGTCAAAGTCTTGTATAAGCTCGATACGTCGTCGTATATCTATTTGCAAACAATTGTGATTAAAATGTAAATTCTCTAAATACCAATGTCAGATAAAATATTTTTACATGTGCCAAAATTTACAATTGCCTTACCGACATTCTTCTTGGATAATCGTCTTCTTTTTCTCTCAGACAACCACTGCAAGCAATGACAATATTCACATTGAGATTGTTACATGTATAACCTAAACCTAAATCTAAACTAATCAGAGTATGCAGCCATAGTCGATGATCCTTTTACCTCGGGAATAGATTTTCCAGCGCTGAGATTATAAATTTTTATATTATTCGGGGCGGAAACCTGCATCTTTGCGGTACGTGCGACAAAATTAAAAACCTACTAATTACACACTTCTAAACACATACTGCAGAACTTCCGGAACACATGTGGATTCAGGTGGTGAAACTCATATGCGTTTTGATCTTATTTTTTGAATAAAAAATAGTTTTTTTTTACACGGAGATCGCGGAAGGTGCAGAAAGTGTGCGAATAAAGAGCACGAAGACAAAATGTCAATGAGCATAAAAAATCTAGAGAAATGGGTGCGTTCAGACAACTCAACAGTTGCACAACGATTGAGAGATAATCACTTCTGATTGGATCATACTTTTGGAACCGGAGTAGATTTTGAAGAATAGTCCTATCATAAGTGATGATCTCTCAACCGTTGAGTTGTCTGAACGCACCCAATGTTTTTTCGAGCAAGCTGCGTTTCCATGAACTCCCAATCGAATCGCACCCTGATTGGCTGTCGCGTATTATTGGGTGCGTTCAGACAACTCAACAGTTGCCAACGGTTGAGAGATAATCACTTCTGATTGGATCATACTTTTGGAACCGCGGCAGATTTTGAAGAACAGTTCTATCATAAGTAATGATCTCTCAACCGTTGAGTTATCTGAACGCACCCATTGTCACATTGGTGAATCTCACTCGTAAAACGTCGAAATGTCAAAGTTCGTGATCGAACTTACGATCAAACGCTATTATTAACATTTTCCTTACTTCGCAATAGTTACCGAGATCTTGCTTAACAAAAAAAAAAGAAAATAAATCGAACAATCGATTATTCTTCTGTGATTGGTCAATTTCTTGCTCCTGACTTCTGATTGGGTGCGTTCAGACAACTCAACGGTTGAGAGATCATTTATAATAGGACTATTCTTTAAAATCTGATTCGGTTCCAAAAGTATGATCCAATCAGAAGTGATTATCTCTCAACTGTTGTGCAACTGTTGAGTTGTCTGAACGCACCCGTTTATTACTGATATCTTATTGGGTGCGTTCAGACAACTCGACAGTTGCACAACAGTTGAGAGATAATGGGTGCGTTCAGACAACTCAACGGTTGAGAGATCATCATTTATAATAGGACTATTCTTTAAAATCTGATGCGGTTCCAAAAGTATGATCCAATCAGAAGTGATTATCTCTCAACTGTTGTGCAACTGTCGAGTTGTCTGAACGCACCCAATCACTTCTGATTGGATCATACTTTTGGAACCGCAGCAGATTGTGAAGAACAGTCCTATCATAAGTGATGATCTCTCAACCGTTGAGTTGTACAATGGTTGAGAGATAATTACTTATAATTGGATCATACTTTTAGAACCAAAACAGATTTTGAGGAATAGTCCTATCACAAGTAATGATCTCTCAACCCATTGGGTGCGTTCGGACAACTCAACAGTTGTACAATGGTTGAGAGATAATTACTTATAATTGGATCATACTTTTAGAACCAAAACATTTTGAGGAATAGTCCTATCACAAGTAATGATCTCTCAACCGTTGCGTTTTCTGAACGCACCCATTGGGTGCGTTCGGACAACTCGACAGTTGCACAACGGTTGAGAGATAATCACTTCTGATTGGATCGTACTTTTGGAACCGCAGCAGATTTTGAAGAACAGTCCTATCATAAGTGATGATCTCTCAATCGTTAAGTTTTCTGAACGCACCCATTGTAAGAAGACCCTATACTCTTGCTCAGTCATGAAAATCTGAATATCATGACTAGCAACCACACTGAAATTTGGAGGTTGGAGATTCGAGATCTCTGAGAGCTGAAATTTGATATATTGAAGACGAGATCTAAGATTTGAGAAACGACTGATGAATTTGGACTCTAAAAAACGATCGAACAAGTTAAACAAAGTTAAACAAATGAGTCATTTTCCATCTGACGATCTTCCGAAAACGTTCGGCAGGTGGCGCTGGCTGCGGACAACTCACAAGGCGCGACATGACGGCGCTCATGAGGAAACGAGGGAGGGATGAAGCGACTAGGGGAGAGGTGAGGGCGGGAGGCAGAACCGACCGGCGTTTCGGTGCGCGTATTAGTCGCGAGAGGCAGCGGTGACGGGTCGTAGTCCTTACTAGTGTGGCGTAGTGAAACAGTTTTTTCGGTCGTCTTCTCACGTCCCCCCTTGTGTTCTAAAATGAGCTGGCAGGATTACGTTGATAAGCAGCTGCTCGCATCTAGGTGTGTTACCAAAGCGGCAATTGCCGGACACGATGGCAACGTATGGGCGAAATCCGAAGGCTTCGAAGTGAGTAGAGCACGTAAAAAAAAAACGAATACCACAAGAACCCCAACTCGCGCTCGAGCGCGCGCGCGCGCGCGCGTTCTCACACGACAGAGAAAGAGAAAGAAAGCGAGTGTTGTGCGTTTGAGAGAGTGAGAGAGTGAGAGCGAGTGGAGCGAGTGTGAGAGAAAAAGATATATATATATATATATAACCCAAAGAGAGCGAGAGAATGAGGAAGAAACGAGGCGGATAGGAACGAGGAGATGATGATGGAGCACAGCCGGTGTAGATGCGGTTGCACGCCCCCACGATAAAAGGAAAAGTGCGCGGAATAAAGAGCCCTCCAATCGCGGTAAAATACTCTTTGTCGATGCGAGGGAGAGAAAAATAGAGAGAGACGAAAGTGAGTAAGAGAGAGAAAGAGAGAGAGAGAGATTGAGGAGGATGAGGAGGGAGAGAGAGGACAGATGCTCCGGAGAGATCGTCCGTGAGCTCGGGCGCGAACCGGTTCGTGCAAAATGAGCCATTGGGCACGTTTGTCGCTTCGCGACGATTTCTAACCCCGAAATATTAAGTGCCACGTAGACTCTCTCTTCTCGACCCCCTCGGGTTGTCGCCGGCCGGCCGGCGGATCGGTCGATCGCTTCTCTCCCGATACACACGTCGGCCGCATTGCGACGTGGTTATCATTGTTGGCTCGGGCCAACAACGACGTCTCTCGTCTTCCCCCAACGCGAATCCAACGTCGTACTTGTCGTCGTCCGTGTGGGAGAGAGAAGAAGTCGCTCGCGGCAGGGGCGGCGGACATGATGTTTTTCGCAGGCCCAGGCCTGTGCCTCTCTGCGACTCTCTCTCTCTCTCTCTCTTTTTCTCTCTCACGACGATTACAATCCGTCGAAGGTGCGCGACGGAATCGATCGCATTGCCGCACGGAGAATATATGCGCTCTTGTCTGTCGGCAAACCGATTCACCGCCGCCGCCGCCGTCGTTGACGAGAAGACGGCGGTCTCTCGGGCACATGGGGCGTGCGAGTCGCGTCCAACTCTCACGCGACTCGCACGCCGGGGCTCCGACAGGATCGATTGTGTATCGCGCGCGCCTCGAAAAGGGTGTGGCGTTGGCGACCGGGCGATGTGAAATCGCGCACGATGAAAAATCAAACCTGGTTTTCGAGCAACGATCAAAAAAAATCACCGGCGCGTATGTGTGTGTATGTATGCGTGCCTTGTGTGTGTGTGTGAGAGAGAGAGAAAGAGAGATTTCGACGGATTCGTCTTCCGGCGTGCGCGATCGTTCACTCTCAGAAGTGAATTCTCGTCGACGACGACGAGGATGAGACTCTCGTCGTCGTCGACGAGAAGACGCTCTCGTGCGCGCGCGCGTATCTCACGTCGCTGACGGAATCCGAACTCCCCGAAGTGTCAGCGCTTTTCGATCGCGTGACGTTAGCTACGCAACGGTTTTTTTCGGCGGCGACGCTTAATATGGCCGCCTTCTATCAAACGCGCCGAGCACGTTGTGCTCTCTCTCTGTCTCATCGCGATGTAATGGTGTAGATCCTTTGTCCACGACGAGACCCGCGATGCGATCGTCCCGGGCGCGAAAATTTCCCTTCCCCTCTCACTCCCCAATGAAAATGATCGTCGGACGGAGGTAAAGAAATCGAATTTTTAGGTTAGCTCGGTAAAAAAAAAAGAAACACGTAGGCGCGAGAGAGAGGAGGACGTGTGTGGGATGATTTTTGCAATCTCGCCGCGATGAAATCCACACTTTTGCGCGTGCCGGGCGTATCGCGAGCGGAAGATTCTCTCCCGATATTATACGCCCGATTTCATATCGTCGCTTATCTTTCGGGTTTTAAGTCGCTTGTTTGTTTGTTTGCGAGTTTTATTTTTTTCCGCGCGGCGATGACAAGCATTGTTTTAACAACTTTGTTAATTAGAGCCTGACTCGTCCGTTCGGAAATTTTTTACGCGTCAGCAAAAAAAAAAAAACTTAAAGTTTCCTCCGAATTCGTTCGCGCGAATCCGAAGGTCGCGCGCGCGCGCGCGCGCGCGGTGATCTGGCGTGTTTCCATTCACGAGGAATAGCGGAAACGTGACTTTACATCGAGGGGAGAGAAGACTCCGTTCGGAGAAAATCTAAACCCGGCGATTGTCTCGCGCGCGAGAGAGAGAAGATATTTGCGTCCCCTGTCCGTCAAGTTTACACCTCGCGCATCCTTCGCGGCGGCTCTCGCGAGATTATTGTAGTATCGGGTATGTTGCACAATTGCGGTCGGATCTTTAAAGAAAAAAAAAGAAGAAGAAAAAAAACTCGCGGTTTCTTCTCCGGAGAGTTTCTTCGAATCTCTCTCTCTCTCTCTCTCTCTCCTTAGGTGAAAGCTGCGACCGGCGCGCCCTCACGTTGCATTTTCGAAGCTTACCGCGAAGAATACCGTCGGTAAAACCCTGTGTGTGTGTGTGTCAGAAAAGGTCATTCTTTCGCGTATTTGTGTCAAATCAAAAAAAAATGCACCGGTCTCCTTCGGCTACTCCGTTTCTTCCCGCTGTGGATTTGGAAAAACCAGTTTATTTTTGTCGCGACTGCTCTCTCCGACTTCAAAGGCGGATGATAAAAAATTTATACTTTTTTTTTTTTTCACGTGTACGTTGCAAAAACGTTTTTGATAATTGCGTTAGAAAAACATTTGAAAAAAATTGTGCGTTCAATCGAATTTCCATCGCGACCTTGCGAACTTGTTCGATCGAATGTTTTTTTTTTTTTTTTCGGCCGCTTAACTCGCGGTGAGAGATTGGATTAGGGTAGGTTAGGATCGGTCACGCGTGGCCGTTCGGAGCTCGACGGAATCGAGAAAGGTCGCCCAGCTGCAGCAGCGTGTGTTCTCCGCACACTTTTCGCTCGTCAATGCCAAGATGGCGACGCCGGCCGGCCGGCTCCAAAAAAAAAAAAGAGACCATCGGACGGTTGGCTACACCAGTTTCTCGATACCGTCGTCTCGCGAATCGCGAAACGACACGCGATCCGGAACGAGACTGGACAAATTGGCAGAACACGCCGCGCGCAAACTGACACTTCTCGAAAAAGTTGATTTAATTCTCGCTCATTAACTCGACACTCGCGTGTGTCGATTAACGAGATCGGTTAGAAATCAATCTGTGTATCTGTCGTTAAAGTAATAAAAAAAAAAAAATAATATAATCCAGGGTTCCACGAAATCATCTCGTGTTTCTACCGAGAGAGCAACACGATTGCCTTGGAAGCCTTTCCGCAAAGTTACATCCACTTCTTGATCACAGCCCCGCGTTAATTATCGCAATTAATTTTCTCAACTGGCGAGAGAAGAGCGAGAGATGATGAGAACGGTTCGCTTTTACGAGTCCGAGTTATAAAACCAGTCTGTGTCCGGATGGAGGTCGATCATTGTGCGTGAAGATGAACATTTTTTAAAAAAATTATTTAAAAGATCATTAAGTTCGGCTCTTGTCTCAACATCGTGAGAGATTTCTCAATTATGTGTTGCAAATGTGTTTTTGATGATTTTTTTTAATAGCTCTGTAAAACTATTTTAGTTTTTACTTTGCGTTTTTGATGATTTTTTTTTAATAGCTCTGTAAAACAATTTTATTGTTTACTTTGCGTTTTTGATTATTTTTTTTTAATAGCTCTGTAAAACAATTTTAGTTTTTACTTTGCGTTTTTGATGATTTTGTTTTGTAATAGCTCTGTAAAACAATTTTATTTTTTACTTTGCGTTTTTGATGATTTTTTTTTTAA